TTACAGTAAACAATCCAAAATAACTTAAGTAAAGGATAAAATACCAGGAATAAATTTTACCAAAGAAGTTCAAAACTTACACTTTGGAAACTACAAACTATTGTTAAAAGAAACAAAGGTCTAAATAACTAGAAAGACACTATGTTCATGAGTAGGAAGACAACACCATTGATTAAGATGGCAGTACTCTCCAAGTTGATCAGATTCAATACAATCTCTAGGAGAATCCCAGCTGGAGATATTTGCAAAACCTTTGTGGAAACGGGCAAAGTTATCCTTAAGGTCATATGGAAATTCAGAATAGCCAAAATAATCTTGAAAAAGAACAGAGCTGGAAGACACATACTCGTGATATTAAAATGTTACACAAGGCCAAAAAAAAAACAAAAACAAAAAAAAACCCCAAAACAAAACCTACTTCATAAAAGGCAATGGTAAGCAAATACTGTGGTACTAGCATAAGAACATCAATGTAATGCAATTCAGAGTCCAGAAAGAAACCCATGTTATTTATGGTAAATTGATTTCCAAAAGGGTACCCAGAATATTTAATGGGGAAGGAATAGTTTCCTCAACTTAAGAGCTGGACAACTAGGGGCACCTGGGTGGCTCAGTGGGTTAAGCCTCTGCCTTCAGCTTGGGTCATGATCTCAGGGTCCTGGGATCGAGCCCTGCATTGGGCTCTCTGCTTACTCCCCCACCCTCACCCCCTGCCTACTTGTGATCTCGGTCAAATAAATAAAATCTTAAAAAAAAAAAAAAAGAACTGGACAACTGAATTGTCACATGCAAATAAAGGAAGTTGAACCCTTACATCCTACCACAAATAAAAGTCAGCAGCTGACTCTTGTTTCTGCTCAAGTCACAATCTCAGAGTCACAAGATCAAGCCCCACATGGGGCTCCACACTCAGTGTGGAGTCTCCTCGAGATTCTCTCTCCCTTTTCCTCAGCCCTTCTCCCTGCTTGCACACATGAGCATGCAACCTCTTTCTCCAGATAAATAAATCTTTAAAATGGGTTAATGACCTAAATGTAAGAGGTAAAACTATGAAAGTCTTAGGAGAAAAATTGGGGCTAAATTTTTGTGACCTTGGATTGACCACCAGATTCTTAGACCTGGCTCCAGAAGCATAAGTAGCAACAGCAAAATAGATAAACTGAACAGTGTCAGAAGACAATATCAAGAAAACAAAAAGATAATCTACACAAAGGGAGAAAACATTCACAAATCATATATAAGAACCTAACATCCAGAATATAGAAATAGCTCTTACACTTAAAAGACAAACAACTCAATAAAAAAAGGAAGGAGAGACTTAAATAGACATTCCTCTACAGAGATATACAGATAGCTAATACAAAATTTGAAAATATGCCCAACATCATTAGCCAGGAGCGAAGTGTAAATCAAATCGCAATGAGATACCGTGTCCCCCCTACTAGAATGACTGTGTATAGGGCAAATAATAAGTACTGGTGAGAATGTGAAGAAATTGAAACTCTTCCACATTGTCGATGGGAAAATAAAGTGGTGCTATCACCGTGGGAAGCACTTTGGTGGATCCTCAAACATCTAAATATGCAATTATTACCCAGTCCAGCAATTCCACTACAGACAGACCTAAGCCAACTGAAAACAGGGACTCAAACAGTTATTTGCATAACTTTACTTGCAGTATTCCCAGTAGCCACAAGGTGGAAACAACCCAACTGTCCTCAATCTAAATGAATGGATAAACAAAAGGTGGTATATCCATGCCAGGATTTGGTCATAGAAAGAAACGAAGTTCTGAACATGCTAGAAGTTCTGAAGTTCTGATACATGCCAGAAGTTAGAGTAAGCAGAAAACACTAAGTTAAGGGAAAGAAACCAGTCCCAAAAGAGCACACACGCTATATGATTCTATTTATTTGAAATGCCCAGAATAGGCAAATCTATAGAGACAGAAAGTCACTTAGTAATTGGTCAAGATGGGGGTGATCTGACGTTGAGAGGTCAAGGGGTACGATGCTTCTTTTTGAGGTAATGAATAGCTTGTAGAATTGCTGATGATTGCACAACTCTGTGAATATACTAATACAGACTAATATAACTGACCTTTAAAACAAAAACCACACCTCTCCCTTGATTCCATATGCTCTGCCAAAAATAGCCCCAATCAATTTCCTTCTGTCTCATGGCCTCCTCCTAGGTCTAAAGAATCTCTTGAAAGAGTTGTTTATTCTCTTTATTTTCACTTTATTGTCACACTGTAACTCAACTCTATTTGCCTGCAGGAGTAAATACTACACCCTTCAATATTTACTGTGACTAAGTCATAAAAATAAGTGTAAGCAACTGAATCAATTCTGACAGCCTACTGAGTACCAGAAGATCGAACAGGACACGATATCTACCTCTTTCTCAAGGGGGAAATATAAAAGGAACAAGATAAGAAGCACATTAGTCTAAAGATTAAAATGAGCCAGAAAGTATCTGCTTCATAGTGGGTTATCTATTTTTTTTTTCATATTGGGTTATCTAAAAGAGGTGTTCTCAGCAAGTGAGGTTTAAGAATTTTTTTTTTTTTTTTTTAAGGTAGGCTCCATGCCCAGAGTGGAGCCCAATGCAGGACTTTAAACTTCATAACCCCAAGATCAAGACCTATGCTGAAGTCGAGAGTCAGATGTTTAACTAACTGAGTTACTCAAGTTAAGATTTAAGACTTTTTTGAGGGAAGACTTTTTTTTAAATTTAAATTCAAGTTAGTTAACATAGTGTATTATTAATTTCAAGGTAGAGTTTAGTGATTCATCAGTTGCATATAACACCCAGTGCTCATTACATCAAGTGTCCTCCTTAACGCCCTTCATCCAATTACCTCCTCCCGCCCACCCACGTCCCCTCCAGCAACCCTCAATTTGTTCCCTATCGTTAAGAATCACTTATGGTTTGCTTCTGTTTTTATTTTTCCTTCCTTTCCCCTGTGTTCATTTGTTTTGTTTCTTAAATTCCACTTGAGTGAAATCATATGGTATTTTTCTTTCTCTGACTCAATTCACTTGGCATAATAAACTCTAGTTCAAGCCACATCATTGCAAATGGCAAGATTTCATCCCTTTTGGTGGCTGAGTAGTATTCCATTGTGTATATATACACACATCATCTTTATCCATCCATCTGCCAATGGACATCTGGGCTCTCTCCTTATTTTGGCAGTTGTGAACATTGCTGTTACAAACATTGGGGTGCATATGCCTCTCCAAATCACTATGTTTGCATCCTCTGGATAAATACCTAGTGGTGTAATTGCTGGGTGATACGGTAGCTCTACTTTTAACTTTTTGAGGAACCTCCATTACTCTTTTCCAGAGTGGCTGCTCCGGCTTGCATTCCCACCATCAGTGAAAGAGGGTTCCCCTTTTAATGCATCCGCACTGACATCTGTTGTTTCCCGAGTTAATTTTAGCCATTCTGACCAGCACGGGGTAGTAACCCATTGTGCTTTTGATTTTTATTTCCCTGATGATGAGTGATGTGAAGCATTTTTCTTTCTTTTTTTTTTTTTTTAAAGATTTTATTTATTTATTTGACAGACAGAGATCACAAGTAGGCAGAGAGGCAGACAGAGAGAGAGGTGGAAGCAGGCTCCCCGCAGAGCAGAGAGCCCGATGTGGGGCTCGATCCCAGGACACCGGGACCATGACCTGAGCCGAAGGCAGAGGCTTTAACCCACTGAGCCACCCAGGTGCCCCGTGAAGCATTTTTTCATGTGTCACTTATTAGTCATTTGTAGGTCTTCTTTGGAGAAATGTCTAACACCAAAGATCCAGCCATACAAAGATAAACGGAAGGCAGGCAGAGGGAAAAACAAGTGTAAAGATATGTTTGAGGAATTACATGAAGCCCTTCTGACGAGGGGCTGGGGGAGGTCCCAGAGGTAATGAGAGCCTGGTTAGGGGTAGATCTGTAGGACTTTTTATAAGGCACGGTCAGAAGGTGCAACTTGCTTCTTCTCCATCTCATAATGCCTTGTGCATATCTGTCCTACTACACTTGTATCTCTGTCCCCACCTTAGACTTGTGCCTGCCCTAAGGAAAATGAAAGTTTTTGTTCCCCTCTATCGACCCACTGCCAACCAGGATCTGATTAGACACTTCCTGAATGAACAGGCCACATCATCATGCTGTGATAAGACAAATTTCCAAGTCCTGAGGAAGGAAAAAAATCTTTTCTAAAGGCAGTGTACACCTAGTGTTTCATGCAATATGTGCCCCACATAAACAATGAATCTTGGAACACTGCGTCAAAAACTAAGGATGTATTTTATGGTGACTAACATAACACAATAAAAAAATAATAAAAATAAATAAAGGCATGTACAAATGAAAGCCAGGCAATTTTCACTCAAATTCCTCAGGCTAGCCTGGTTATTTCTACCAGACACTGTGATGTTTCCCAAGTTTCAATCAGTTAAAGAGAACATCTTCCAAACTTAATTAAACTCATTCCCAGAATTTGAAACCTAAAACTGCCAGCTAAGAACAGCTTTAGCTTCTCTGATTACTGTGCGGTTGTCAGTAATTGGTTCTCTAACTCAAGCCTATTCCCTAAGTATTCTACGACATTGTGCAAAATTATATCCCCCTCAACATCATCAGTGTCATACGGTCAACAGCAATACATGGAAATGGAAAAGCTATTAGGTTACAGTATAGGATCAAGCACCACCTTTTAAATAACACATGAAAACACATGCTTTCTTTTTAAATGACTTACAAATATTGACTTCCCAAATAACTACTTCTCATTTGCAGGTTAGATTTTCTATTTGTCCTACACAGGGAATCTGCTATAGTTCTAATTATAGCATCCTTATCTAGAAAGGCACACAATGATTCTAACACAGTTGAAACAAACCTAACCAATAACCCTTGTGGAGTATAAAACCACACAATGCTGCAAATGAATAAACCATGTTTCTTTGGAAGGGGAAGATTTTTTTCAGCTGGCTTACTGTGGCCTTGAGGCTTCAGCCTGGTCTGTCTGCAGTTTTTCTCCTCCTTCCACTTCCATTGTACAGTAAACAATTCGATTGGGAGCAACGGACTTCAAACCTTGCACTTCCATTATGACAATCTAAAGATTCAAAAAAATTTTTTTAAATGATACATCAAGTTAGCAGTCTTTAACAAGACATAGAAGTAGCAACATTGACAACAATTAGAATGACCAACTGATAAAATTATCTGGCAACATCAATGGTATTTTATCTTCGCTAGAATCATCTGTATCCATGGAAGGTATAATAAGTAACATTCTGAGGAAGTCTGATATTGAAGAAATATCTCCTGCAAGCTTATTAAAGTAAGGTTAAGATCTCTAAATATAAGCCTTACTGAGTTAAATGAGGTATAAACTCAGATTCTTTAAAAATGTGGGCAAGTCTGCATAAGGTAAAGCAGAATCGCCCATGAAAATTCAGGGAATGTGCTAAAAGCAGTACCAGTTGAGTTCCACATAAAATGAAATCCTATTCATGAGTGGTATCCATCATCATCAACCCAATTCATGGTAATCAGTAGGTAACATCATCAGAACTTTATCTGTTCACTTATTTAGATACTATTAGTATTTATAAAAGAATATTCATTATAGAAAATGTATATCTTATTATGAAGTATGGGAGATATAACCTGCCGATGAATATCTTACACTAACTTGGCAATGGAAAAAAGGACTTTTCCATCCACTAAAGGTATGTGCGACTTTAATGCAGCACACTGGGAATGGGTAGAAAGACTGATACTGTTTTATGCACTTATAACTCCTGGAAAAGAGGGAAACAAATATTTTTCAAGTGGGCTTTAATGTTCATATTTTTGCTTTTTTTTTTTTTTCAGTCAAACCTTGCATCCTGAAGTTTCCCTAGCTCTTGAAACTCATAAATTATATTCAATGGCATTTTTATAATATGCACAGGTTTTTTCTGATCTCATGTTGTATTTGTACAAATAAGATTAATAGCATCCATGCCACGTAGCTACAAAAATATCCACTAAAAACATCATGTATTGATCATTTAATACATTATTAAAATCATTCCACTTTTCATTGAGTTGTGATATGAATCTCAAGGCAAAAGTTCTCCAAGATGCCATCTTAAAAAAAAAAAAACTATCCTTCCTTTCACTCTTCAGCACAACAGAAGGGTTACATTTGTAAATAAAAATACCCATTTTTTTCCCCATGAAAATAATGGGAAACTAATCACTAAAAAAGAAAGGTCAAATTCAGAACCATTTTCCTTCCACAACCAAGACTTTCGGTATTTTATCACAGTGAAATGTATACCAATGCAGGAATAAAAATAAGGGCATAACAGAAAACAGACTAAGAACTGATAGAGAACAGTAACACCTTTCCTAGCTTTTGTAGATATTCAAGGAAGTTAGAACAAAGCACTTCATCTTGTTGATGGAAAGTAAGCAAAAGGAGGTATGCATTCTCAATAAATCAACGTCATTGTTAGTCATTTTGAAACTCATCAGATCCTTATACAAATAAAACTAAGCAGAAGCTGAGACAAATGACTGACAGGATAACCATATCAATCACAAGCCAATTCCACAGGGACTTACCAACATGCTCGAAATGACTTCTTAATAAAATTTTTGGAAGGTCACTGAAAATACGGGAAGCAATAGAATTGTGTACACATCATAAATGTAGATATCTTTTAGTTCATATGTGGGAATATGCTTACTTGCCCTGCATCTTTTTCCATAGTGTGTTCAGCAAAGTGCAACAGAGAAGAAAGGAAGTACCTGCTTACCACTGTTTCTGTCACCTCTCCTACAAACTACTGCAAACAGGACCTCTTGAAACACACAACTTGTGAAACAGTTTCCCGGTCCGCAAACTAATACTGCCGTCTGTGCCGGGAACGTTTTCTTCTGCAGAATTGCCACTTTCAAAAGAAGTAACTTCTGTTCTGAATCCACACATATAAATAAAATAACACAATTCTACAGATTTGATTTCCAAAAGGAATAAAAAAAATACAGTTGGTCTCAATCTTTAATGATAAAGACAGCCAAGAATTCTGTGGACCATCAACTGACCTATTTCAGGTAACTGTTCCGACCAGTTCCCCACAACACCTGGTAAGGGAACATGGAAAATGAAACCAGTCTCATTTCCATCTTCTCTTCCCCAATCTCTCTGTGACAGATTTAATAAAGATAAAATGTGCAGAATTATTCTGGACATAAAAAGAAGGGAGGCATGTCCAAAATAGAAAACTTGGTACCATGCTTCTGAATGATGCATTGACCAGAGTTGCACGGCACTGAGTCACGGGCAGGTTTGAGAAAATAAGGCTGAGCTGTATGTGGGACATGTACTACCAGATAAAGAAGTTGTCTCCTGCGCTGCCAGCCTAATACCGATGAAAACTACAAAAATCAGCCGTACCCATGAGTGACACCATCCCTCTTCCGACATGCAGACTCAACCTCACACATTAACCTCTGTTGTCCTCCCCTCACTTGAATATTTATATTCAATATCTGGCTTGTGGTTTTGCAGGTTAGCTTTGCTCTTGCTTTGTTATTCTCTCTGAAGCCTTCATCAGCAGAGAGACCTATAAGTCATCTTCTTGTGGCTACCTTCTGCCTTTTTATTTTTTTCACTGCTGTTTCTTAATACCATCAAAGTCCCTAATTCAATCAGTATTTATCAAGTCAACTGTGTGCCAGGCCATGTTTTAGGCCCTTTTGATACTTCAGCAAACAAAACAAGACCTTAACTTCCCGTAGCTTACCATTTAGTAGACTCTGTCAGATAATGAATAATAAACTGAATTAGGTGCGTCAGGTGGTAAGAGCTGTGGCAAAAATTCAGCTTGCTAAGAGAACAGGGTATGGTGAGAGAAGAGAGCGGTCGGTAGCAATTTTAAAGAGGTGATAAAATTTAAACAGTTTTTCAGATCTGCACTTGCTCCCTAGACTCAGACTTCAGTTCGTAGAAAAGACTTTTCCCACTGGACCAATTTTAAGCCTGACTGACTAAATGTGAGACCCTGAAATTGGATTAACTGCTTGCCTTTCAGAACTTTCTTAGGCTGAGAAGCAAGGCTTAGATAATGGGACAGGGATAATTATGGAGTTTAGCTAGGCTGAGGTCAAAGGCCCTGGGGACAGAGTGGGGACCTCATCTGTTCTCTCAGGTGTCCACAAGTAAGCATTGTGTAGTCTGCATGGAATGTGACTTCCTTTTGCTGTTGAACACACAACTCCTATTTATAATACCGGAAGTACATCACAGAAAACATCTCTATTATGCTATGGAAGGAAAACATCTGCCTTACATAGACATAGCAGTAGAGGACTATCATAAACAATTTTACAAATAGGCAAGCTTCTCAGACCATGCAAAATGAAGCTTTAACTCATTTTCTCTTCCTAACACCATTCTATTGTTAACTGAGCAGCCCTGTTTCATACACCAGCAATAAAGGACAGAACAATTCATAGTTTCACACCAACGCTAACTCACGAGGATAATCTTGTTTTCAATGGGGAAAAGAGTTCATAAAAGCCAGTTATTTATAATTTTGTTTAAAAAGGAAGAAGGTGTTTTGAATGGTTTCCAGTTCTGCTGGTAGATTTATACATTACAAAAATAATTTGCTTTACAAATTATACTGTAACAGATTTTATTTCATACAAAGACTTAAAAAAAAACACCTTGGCATTCTACACCTTGGTCAGTAGGAAAACAGATTTCTACATGTAAGATACTGTGTAGTTTTCCATTAAACGTCTCTTTAAGATACTGAAGAGATTGAGAAGAAACCCAGAGTAATGGCAAAATCATTAGGTCATCCTAGAACAGAGTCTCAGGTCAGAAGAAAACCCATTTCTAATTCTGATAGTAAATTTAATCTATTAACTTACAAAAAAATCATTAGTCTGGAAGTTAAGAGAGAGGCAGTTGGCTTATCCTCAAGCCTGAATTTATCTTAGAGTTGAACAGGTGGAATAAAGAACAAAAGCACACACTTGCTTTTTCTGTCGCAAACTAAGCAAGCCAAAAGAAAGAAGTTATCAACAAAGAAATTTAAAACGGTGCCTCCTAAAACTCCATCAGTCAATCCACAAACTTCAGTAGCAGTACTGGGCACCAGCAAAGAGAATTTAACAAAGCAAGGAAGGAGTAACGAGCTTTAATTTTTGAGAGTGCTCTGAATTTAAGCTCGATATTGCAACTATATGTGTTTATGCCATGTATAAACGCATAAAGAAATACATGGATTAGCCCCAATACACAGATTAGCAAAGAAGAAATGTAATCATAAAAAAAAAAAAAAATCAACAGGTGGCTGTGCTGAGTCTGCATATCTGGTTTCCAGTGCATTGTATAAAAGGGATAAAACTCAGCAGTCTGAGAGAACAAAAGTTTAAATGTGTGACATTTGTTCCTATTCTTTATAATATGTACTGTATCTATAATGAAACTGGACATCCTGGAAAGGAAGAATTCTCTCCTTATCATCTCTATGCACCCAATATTGTGTTTCAAAGCTGGCTGGTGGGATTTGATTCTAGAAAAATACCATAGGTGAGGTAGGTTAAAAACAAAGCGAACCAAAAGCCTGCAAGCAATTTCCAAGTTACAGAGAATTCGGTTATGTGTTTAAATACTATTTCCACCCAAATGTGCTTTTACTGATAAACTTACACCAAGATAGTTGGCACAAAGACGAATTTTCTCAAAACTTACTATTTTATTATTTAATCCTGAAACTGGGATTATGTTTAAAGAACAATGTGTATTAGTTTGCATTCACAACCGGATTGTCTAGCAAATGAAGAATAAGGTAACTTCTTCAAAATATATCACACTGCTTTCAGTTCAGGAAGTTACCATGAAGGTGAGCAGAAATTATTCTGCAGTTTCATTTACGCTGTCAGAGGTGAACACGGGATCACGTCACTTACCTCTAAGGTGAATGACAGCACCACATCCGACTTTGACAGTTGAATCTCATTCTCATCGCCTATGTCCAGAAATGCAGAATTCTGTGAACGTTTTAGTTTTTGTAATTTAAATTCCGGACCACCTTTTGAAACTGGAAGACTTTCCAAATTGGCCATTAGCAAATTCACTGAAGATCGCAACTCTTCTATATACATAGTCTCCATTTCTTTTGTTATAAATTTGGGGAAGTTTCTTTCCTTGAAAATAATTAAAAAAAAAAAAAACCAATGTTACAAAAGTTATTATTTCAATTTTATCATAGAAGATTATACGATGTATATCTCTGATTGTCTTGGAAACTGTGACACTCAATATAAAGGCACCTGCCCGGTTCTTCAGTCTCTAGGCTTTAAAATCATCAAATTATGTGTAAGAGTACATTACATCCTTTATTCAGAATCATTATGGTACAAAATAAGTAACATTTTCACATTAACTATTTTTGATAAGGTACTTGCTTAAGGAAAAACTGAAAACCTACATGGAAGAAAATTTAGCTTCGAGATCAATCTTAATTAGTCACTGTTAACTTTGAATTGCTTGGGGTAAACTGGTCGGTAAGGAAAACGTTCAGTATATGAATGTGTTTGCCTGTTAGGAAACAAACATCACAAATACCTTTCTTACCACAAATATATATCAAGAGGATATCCTTTTTATAAGTAAGAATTCAAATTAAAAAACACATAACAGCAATATGCTGAAAATTCTAGAATTTTCACATGACACAAATGTAACCAGATCTCTTATGACCATAAATTCAGTTTTTTAGTAAAAGATTTAGAAAATTTTAAGTTCAAAGCAAAAGGCCAACTTATAAATAAAGCTGCACCTGAAAAAGAATAACAATATCAATCTAGAAGATTCATGTTTCTTTCTAAACTACATGAGCATTGCCATTTGGTCCTTGGATCTCTGTAATCAGATTTTGGTTTCTTTCAACTCAATGAGAAGGACATTCCAAATACTGGGATTTAAAAAGATACGGACAGATATTGGCAAATTGCCCTTAAAGCAGATGATAACCAATTACATTCTTACCAACAGCAAAAGAAGGCTTTCTCCCACTATAGGTTCTTTTTTAGTTTTTGGAAACCTGGCATTAGGTCTTTCATTAAAGAGTTTATAGCTTTATGATATGAAGCATGACATCACGTATCAGCTTATTTGTACAAAACTGGCTGGGAATGAAAGCCTAAAGCAGCCAGGTTGCAAATGACTGCTTAATGCTCCAGGAAAATTAATACCTTTCTCATAGTTTCCCTGGGCATCATTCGAAGCATAACCTAAGAAATCCCCGTCTCTGGGATGACTGGAACACATCCCAGGTGCTCTCGTCAACCTGCACCTAACCTGTGACTCACTTCCACCTGTTTGCTCATAGGCTGGAAAGCAACATCTGGTACCACTTCCCATATCAGTCCCAGAGTCTCAGGCCACCTGTTTTCTTCTTCCCGAATATAACCGTCATATATTTCTTTTAACAGAATTTACATATAATCAATATTAAAACTGCATATTTATTATCACATAGTAATTAAGTATCCACATTCATAATTAACTTTCTTAAGGAAGACTCTTAAGTATCTTTTTAAGATTCCTCTAGAGTTTGAAGCAACATTCTAAAAAAGTTTGCAACCTCAGGAAAAACACCTAACCAGTTACAGAATACCTTGGTTTCCTTTGGGGGAAAAAAAAAAAAAAGAAAGAGAGAAAGAAAGCGATGTTTTGGAATGGTTTCTCAGAGCATGCAAGAGAAAAAAAAAAACAAGCAAAATAAGCTATAAAAAGATTTTTATATTTATGCACTGTCTTTATTTTCGTATTTAAATTCAATCAGCCAACATATAGTACATCTTTAGTTTTTCGTGTTTTTTCTTTTTTTTAAGGATTTAATTCATTTGTGAGACAGAGAAAAGCGTGAGCGGGGAGAAGGGCAGAGGGAGAAGCAGGCTCCCCACCAAGCAGGGAGCCCAATGTGGGGCTTGATCTCAGGACAGGAGCTGAAGGCGGATGCTTAACCAACTGAGCCACCCAGGTGCCCCCACGTACATAATTTTCCTTAGTTTTTGACATAATGTTCAAGGATTCACTGAACATGCATGCTGTGTATAACACCCAGTGTATGTACTGACTTTAAAAGCTGTTATGAAAAGTATCCAAAACTCAAAAATAAGGCAAAAAGGTGAGGGGGTAGGTCCTTTCAATGTCCTACAGGGGCAAAGGGCATCCAAGGGTCATCTTTAGAAATATACTTAGTTTAACTTACTATTTATTGATTCAAGGTCCCAAACAGTGAAGTTACACGTTACCTTACAGAATTTTGTCTGGAAAATATGCAAATAATGTGTCTGCTGAATAAGATAATCCAATGGTTATAGTTTAAAACCTTGTTGGAAACTGACCACTTTTAGATCTAATCCAGGAATCTTATTTTAACCTTGCCTAAAAACACCTAGTTTTTATATGCTCTTTGGATTAGTTTTAACATGTAACTAGTTTGCTCATTCTTCATGCACTGAATGAAATCTTTATTGCGTGTTTATATTTGTAGGAGTCATAATTTTGCCTTTTTAAAAATTTTACTTTATCAAAGCAAAAAAAATATATCATGTTTGAAAGTTTGGACACACTAATTTTTTTTTTTTTCAAAATTTTAAGCTTACTTAGCATTAGCACATAAAGAGTCCAATATTTATTTAGTTTTAGTTAAAAACATGTCGCTCGCCATCACTGTTCAAGGAGGAAACTGGCAGGAATCACCAAAATTGATCGTCTTATTGGCACTTTCCAACTTTTCAAGAAAGAGACTATGCTCAATTTTCTTCCTCTCTGGGGGAAAGGACAGACAACTCTGCTTTAAAGCTCTGAGGTTTATTAATAGTATTTCAACTTTATTTAGCCTGCTTATGTTGCCTCTTTCTTGGAAACAAAAATCAACCGTACTTCAGGCAACTATACATGTTAAATTTAATCTTTTAAATTAGAACAGACTCAGAAATAGGGTTATCCTCTAGTTTAACTGTGAGTTGTTCTTATAAACCATGGTTTGAATATTCTAATTTACTCGCTCATTAGTGGTCTGAAAGCATTATATACATGAAAATGTTAAAAAAAAAAAAAGAAAGAAAGAAAAAATGTTTTCTCCATAAAAAAAAAATTCTCACCATTCAAATTTAGTCCCTTTTTAAGTGCTCCTAACCTTCCACCAGAAGAAGTCTTGACCAGACTGGTAGGTGGAAGATGGGGACAGCTGTCAGACTCTAGAAATACTCTGAAGACAAATGCAAATGGATTTCCTAATAAATCTGTCATGAGACACGAGAAAAAGCAGGGAGTCAGGGATGATACCAAGTTTTTTTTTTTTGGTGTAACTGACAAGACAGTACTGCCAAGAAAGAACTGGCCTAGCCTGACTTCTTCACTGAACATTTTAAGCACCCTCCATTCCTCCTGCACTCCTGATTCCCTCTTGTCTTTATTTTCCAAAATAGCAAATGATCACCCTCCATAGTTCAGTTATATGGAACATTGTTTTCTTATTATTGGCTCTACCAAATGCAAGCTCCACCAGGGCATGGCAGGAATACTTTTGTCTGGTTTTATCCCAAGACAACTACACACTTGTCTGGATGTATTCCAAGTGCCTACAACATTGCCAGGTTATTTTAGTAGGTGTTCAATAAACATTTATTCATTGAATTTATAGATAGAAAAATTTAGGCTCCAAGAAGTTAAATAAACTTGCCTAATGTTCTATATCTAAGGAAACAGCAATCACGGATTTGCCTACATGTTTTTCTGGCCCAGTCCACATTTTTCCTATGACTTCCTAATAATTATGCCTTGGCTAAAGCATTAAAGTCAATACTTCTATCCTTTGAAAAAGATTTCTGCCCTGGGGCTTTGTTGTTATTATATTGTGCTATGAAGTATGATAGGAAGTGCTACTGATTACAAATTATTAAGGGGCCACACTTCTGGATTTATCAGACTGAAGGGGCAGCTGGGCCCAAGACAGCAAAGTCCAAAGACCAGGTTTTTGAGGCCAGCCTCCACCATGTTATTTGTTATGTAATCTTGAAGTCAGTAATCTTCCCTAAATCTCAATCTCCTAGTCTATATAATAGACTCATTCTGTCCTCTGTCCTTGTGGGTTCATAGGATTACTATAGGAGTATAATGCAATAAGATCAGTAAATTATAATTAGCTTTATGAATATTTTATGCTGATGGCTTACAATTGGTGAAACTGAGTTAGAAAGCAATTAAACATGTTTTATCTCCTATGTCAATATATTCACCAAAAGCCATCTTATATTTGGTGCCTTTTTTCCCCTTCCAATTCCACTGGTTTCACTTCCTTCTCCACACTTTTTTAAACGTATCAGTGTTTGTGATGAAACCACTGGGGTGCGGTCAAAGTCTCTGTCTGTGCATCACTGATCCTTTCCTCTCAAGTCTGGAGGTTATAAACCCACACTCTCCTCCCAGGCATGAACTTGAGACACCCAAGACTCTCCCTCATGTTTCATCACCCTCCAGAAATTCATCTAAACTTTATTCTAAAGCAGCACATTTTCAGCCAGGATCTTTGAGAAACAAATCCAACTCAAACAATGTGCATAGACTCAGTATCTATATCTATATACACCTAGAAAATCTACAAATGTGGATCACAGATCCAGAGACCTGCCCCCATAGGGTCTGGAACATCTCTCTGGATGCTCTCCCAGTCTCAGGTCTTCAAGAAAAGCAAATGTCTTTCCAGCCAGTTCTCCAATTCATATTGGGGAAAGTGTTATCCTCTCTAAAGCTTCCAATAGCCTTAACCTACTTGACTTCCATCCTATAAATTCGACACTTGAATCTCCACAGTTTGCAGGGCCTCTCCAGATATCCAGAGGATGGTAACATGGCATGTTGTCCTTTGAACCACTGTCCTATATGTGAATGTAACTCTTTAGCCCCTAATTCATATCATTGTTGGTCTTTATTCATCTGGAAATTCCTCTTCATCTATCTCTGGCTTAGTTCTCACAACTTACTATCATCTCTGCTACCTTAATTTCTCTTCATTTTCTCAACTTTCCTGCTTATCTCCAGTTTTTCAATAATCTCCCTTTTTGAAATTTAATATACTTCTAGATAACACAGTATTAGCTTCTTAAAACTTACGCATTATTCATAAACACGTTTTTCCTTGCAAAACCAAAAATATTTCAATTGTTAAAATCAGCATGGGACGTATGTTCTTCTCAATGGCTGGAAAGTTCACTACCTTGATTTGGGAGATGGTTAACAAGGACAATGTACACATACATTCACTGAGCTGTAAACTAAGTATCTGTATACTTCACTATACATGTTATACCTAAAAAGAAATGAAGAAATTTCCCTCAAAAGGGAGGATTCTTCAGAAAGATGGAGGGAAGTAAAGGAAGAGTCTAAATATTCAAAGTTTTGATTAGCAGAAGGGAAAAAAAGGAAAACATATCTCAGATTAACAGCACTATAACCTCAAGTCTATTGGGAAAGATAATTTTCTTTTACCACTATTAAATCAATGCATCAATTTACTAAAGAATGATGCAAATAATGAAGTTCCATGTACTCTAAGAAATTTTAAGCATTAAGAAGAATAAGTTTGAATTGTTAAAATGTCTATACTGCCTAAAGCAATCTATACTTTCAATGCCATCCCAGTCAAAATTCCACTGGCATTTTTCAAGGAGCTGGAACAAACAATCCTAAAATTTGTATGGAACCAGAAGGGACCCCGCACTAAGGAAATGTGGAAAAAGAAACAACTAGGGGCATCACATTGCCTGATTTCAAGCTTTACTACAAAGCTGTGATCACCAAGACAGCATGGTACCAGCACAAAAACAGACACATAGACCAGTGGAACAGAGTAGAGAGCCCAGATATGGGCCCTCAACAATATGGTCAAATAATCTTTAACAAAGTAGGAAAAAATATACAGTGGAAAAAAGACAGTCTCTTCGATAAATGGTGCTGGGATAATTGGACAGGTACACGTAGAAGAATGAAATTGACCATTCTCTTATACCATACACAAAGATAAACTCAAAATGGATAAAAGACCTCAAAGTGAGGCAGGAATCTATCAAAATCCTAGAGGAGAACATAGGCATAATCTCTTCAACATCAGCCACAGCAACTTCTTTCAAGACATGTCTCCAAAGGCAAAGGAAACAAAAGTGAAAATGAATTTTTGGGACTTCATCAAGATCAAAAACTTCTGCACAGCAAAGGAAACAGTCAACAAAACAAAGAGGCAACCCACGGAATGGGAGAAGATATTTGCAAATGACACTACAGGCAAAGGGCTGATATCCAAGATCTATAAAGAACTCCTCAAACTCAACACACACAAAACAGATAATCACGTCAAAAAATGGGCAGAAGACATGAACAGACAATTCTCCAAAGAAGACATACAAATGGCTAACAGACACATG